CAGATGGAGCTATATATATGCAGATGCCAATAACAAGCTGAAAAAGCTTAGAATGGACAGGAACAATGTCAGAGATTTTGCAGCCGATCGAATTGACCTCGAACAGACCAAGGGAACCCCGCGGAGCACAACAGCACCAGAAAATAAATCCCACAAGGGCAGCCCAGTGAAATCTAATGCGTGATTCACCATCTCCTGCGGTCCTGATTAGACCTCAATTTGACCTTTTTCGGCCATCCATTTTACTATATATTTAGACATATTTTATATCTAGATGCAGATTAAAATGGATGTATCAAAAAAGTCAAAGCGACTGATAATATGAAACGGAGGGAGTAGGTTGCTGCTGATCATGTACCAATCTCTTATATACGGAGAGGCTAGCGCCTGGATATCCAGACGGACGCCCACGTCTATTCTGCCCATCTGCTCAGATTCACGTGCTGCCCGCCCCTGGCTCGCCCGGATGACTCGCCCCCACCCTCGGATGGCTCGTCACCGCCCTCGGCTCATCACGCAGAAGCGACAGGGCGCTGGTCACCTCCACCGTGTAGGACTCCTTTGCTAGGAATCGTGCTGGTCTCTTCCACACCGGTGCCGCGCTGCATAAGCCTCCTCCCCACACCGTCGGCGGCGGCCTGCGCCTCCTTCCCGCGTAAGTGGCCACAGCCCTCGACGACACCAATGATGGGGGCTTGCACCTACAACATCTAACACTTGCTGCAACATACAACTAAAATATATGAAACATTTGGAACATATGTGTATAGCCACTGTAACATGTGCAACATCAAAAGAACACACTTGTAACATATGTCTAAAACAGATGAAACATTTTTAGTAGACACTTGCAACACACCTCTGAAACGCTTGCAACATATGCAACATTCGCAACATTCAAATCTACTGTTGCAACATCCATATGAAACACATGCAACGAACCTCCGAAATATCTGAAGCACTTGAAATTGAAACATACATTTACAATATACGCTTCCAGCACAACATCTCCTGGTGGGGGACTGCGGTAGGGGAAGCACCTTGGCATGGCGGGGGATGGGCACACTGAGGAGGAGCATGGCGCGGCTAGTCTAGGGCGCGCAGTGGGAAAAGGCGGCAGCTGCGAGGTGGAGTGGGGCAGGCAGCGTCCGGGCGGACAGATGCCCGCTTTCCCAGCATTACCGTTCTATATAAACACACGAGAGAAATTGAAGTGGACTAGAGAAGGAATCAATCTGAAAAAACTACAAGTACCGTTTTTCCAGGTTTCATAGTGTGATAGTGGCACGTCTAAAGTCACAAATGGTTTGCCCTGAATTACAGAACTGGAAACAGTGAGCATATCCCATAATTTGGACTCAATGGATGTAGTACTCCCTATAATATAAGCGAAAGCTCAGAAAGTCCAAACCGGTGTCAGTAGAAGACAAGCCATCGTCCACATTCATTTGGGGTCTCATCTCGTCATTCCTCTCCTGATCTGAGTCTATTGAGCGTTTGTTCTTTCGGCCTGGCAACACTTTCTCGCCATTGAACATGTCGCGAGAAAGGATAGCGTTGTCGACCAGCGATAGGTGCGTTCGTGTTGGGCCTCACCGCCCGGGCATGGAAAGCGTCGGATAAAAGCGTCCCCCCGCCAGCTGTTCTACAGCTCCAGTTCGCTCGTCTGCCTGCCAGCTGCAAATAGGCTCCTCTCTTTTCGTCTTCTCTGCGCATTAGCAGACCCGACATCCTTTCCGGCTGGAGTCCGTGGCGCGGTGCCATTTGCTGTGTTCAGCGTGGGCCGGGGTTGTCCAAATCTCTATTATTATCCTGTATTTGTGGTATATTTTTATAAACGTGATGCTGATGGCCACCTGTTGTTGGCTATGTGCCTGTGAGCCGATTATAGCGGGGTGCTGGGGAAGCTCCGGGGTGGGTAGATCTGCCCTTTGCCATGGTCTGACGGTCTGCCGGATCAAACTCTTTGCACAGCAGCGCTACGTCCATCAGCTATGATTCTTCAACAAGTGTCGGATCAAATAACTCCTTCATTTTGTCCACATCTGCCAGCCGCATCCCGTGCTGCAAAAAAAATAAAAAAAAAAGTGCAGTGTCACAACCTACCAGTACAGTCGTTAGTCTCTTGCCGTCTGCCATGGCGCTTCTCCAAGGGTGGCGGTGCTTGGAGCTCCAATGGATCATTTCTTCGGCCAAGTTGTTGTTAGTTGGGTCGATTCGATCAAGCTGCAAGTAGTGGCGTGAGTTGTGATAGTTATACTAAAGTTATGCAGGATGAGTGAGGTACTCTCCTTACTTGTATGGTTTTTCTGGTCCAGTTTCCATTCAAAAAACTAGACTGGCACTTGCCTTTATTCTTTCTTTGTCCAATAGAAATCGCGGCAAATCTTTTACCGTCCTTTCTAAAAAAATGCCAAACATGCAGACTAAAAGTGACTAAGGCCCTATTTGGTTCTAGGGACTCAAAGAGACTAAAGACCATTAAGGCAGATAAATAAAGACCAAAATACCCCTACTTCTCTTGCCTAGCCACGCCGAGGAATGGGGCACGCCGCGCCACTCCCGGCCGAGCTCCGTCTCGCCGATAGCTGTACGCGCGCCCAGGGAGGGGCGCCGCCGCGGGCCGTGGTGGGGAGGGGGCGCCAAGATGTCGGAGGTGGGGAGGGGTCGCCGAGATGCCGGAGGTGGGGAAGGGGCACCGGGATGCTAGAGCTGGCCGCCGTCTCTGCCGTGGCCACGAGCTCACCACCATCTCGTTGCGCGCCGGGATGTCGGAGAGCGGAGGCGGGCGCCTCCACGCTGTCAGATCCAGGGAGAGAAGATGCCGTCGCCGATGCTTGGAGGAAGGGCTCACCGCACTGCCGTAGCCTTCCCCATGCACGGTCGTGAGCTCCAGGGGCCGCGAGCTCCTTGTTCGCCGTCGCGCATAGCCTCGTCGCACAGTCACTATCGGTGCTCCAGGCCACAGCGGCGCACGCTACAGCAGGTAGACGCGGATGGCCCCGACATAATAAAAGAGGAGAGAGATAAGGGCATGGTTTGTCAACTTGGCCTAAGAGTCCCAAATAGCCATCCTTCAAGGACTACAACCCAAACGTCTTCGGTCCCTTTAGTAGTCCATGTGTATGAGAAAGTAGAGACTATTTGGGACTAAAATGGGCTCAGTACTCTCTAGTCTCATCTAATCAAACAGGCCCTAAAGTAGTTCAATCCCCTTTAGTCCTCAAGGGGTGACTAAACTTTAGTCCAGTAACAAACGGGGCACAAGTTAAGTCAGAATTTTCCTCTCTTTTTTTCATTTTCCTTTTTCTGAGGTTGTGGGTTGCAAATAAAACCCTACCTTTTCACATGCTTAATTAATTATAAATTTCAGATTGTGCTGAAGCTTTCCTCCGATCTGAATTTCATTACGTATTTGGAGATGCTAAAAATTTCAGACCACCTCTGTTAATAAAATTCCTTGTCTTCTGAAATTATTTTTGTATTAGTAAGATGTGGTTTCCCTTAAAATATTATTTTTGGAGACGCTTCCAATTTCAGACTGCCTCTGTTAATAAAATGTAAAATTTTAATATGGAAAAATATGGATCATTCATTGAGCGAGATCGAACGCTGTAAAAATAGGAGGTACCTAACTGCAAGTACCTGGAGGTACCAAATTGGTGGGGGTAATACCAACTTAGGTTGGACCAGTACCAAAATATGTAGAGCAATATCTATTTTTAATTTTATTTTTTTCCGAATATGGGTAATCGGTCATTTTAGGACTGTCATTCAAGGTAAAAAATGGGATAGCTTCTCGATGAGATACATTTACTTGTATTTGAAGACATTTCTTCTTTAGTTTTGAAAGGGAAAAAGAGCGTATATGACGTCATCGTGACATCATGGCCCAGTCCGGCGTTAGGCACGCCACGTGGCTTCGCGCCCTCCGCTCCCTGACTGCCACATATACGCTCCCAGGGTTCCTCGGTGCTGAACAGCACGAGGAGGCCCGAGAGGAAGGCGCGGTTGACGTGCTTGCTCCTGCTCGCTCGAGTGGCACCTAGCACCTCGACGAGCCGCTCCTGCTTCACCTCAGACTCCAGCAATGGCGGTAGCAGCTTGGCCGTGCCGCGGAGCAGGCCGTCTAGCTTCTCGAGCTCGAACAGGAACTTGACAGTGGTCCTGAGAATGGCCGCACGCTCGGCGTCCTAAGCCTTGCGGCCTCGTAGTCCGCCATGGCACGCTAGCCACTGTCCGTGCCCTCCGGTGTGTCGCACTCCGCCAGTGAGGCCACCTTCAGGGCCGCGTGTGCCATGGCCAGGGTTACATCTACTTTCAGTAGGGCGCAACCTCAATTACTAAAATATCGTGTATAATATATTTCTCAATTAGTTACTTAGAAAAAGAAAAAGATGAAAGCACCTGGAGGTATACCATGGTACTTTTCGAGCTATAATAAAATACCAGGTCTCCTAAAATCATTTTTGTACTAGTAGAATTTGTTTTGCTTAAAATATGAGTAAGATTTTGCCCCGTAGCTAAGAGATTTGGTAGCCGTTGGCAAGCAACGCACGCTTCTTCTTGTTCTATATATATTGCACTTGTTCAATCTTGAATCGTCTTTGAATTTTGATGGAGGTATGGAGAAAAAAATCTTAAATACGATACATGCATTTAGAACTCTTAAAGTTTTGACCCAGTCATTGATCATCGTAAAGAATGAGAAAATTTTAGAGACAGCAGGTGGCTTGAATGGAATCGAGGTCGAGGATGGTCACGTGAGGTGACAGTGAGGTGTTCAGCCGCATGGATGTGTGCGCAGCGTCACATGGACGCATGTGCTACCAGCGTAGGTACCCGAGGCCCATCGATGGATGGCTGCCATAGTCCCCGGCTGCCTGGTTGCTTCTCTTCAGCTACTGCAGGCCTGCAACTAGACGCCTTGCCACCACCAACCTCCAGACCAGTGCAATGAATCCACCGCACCTAGATCTGAAGCAAGTAAGGGAAGAAGCATGAGTGTGCTGACTGGAGCGCTGGGAAGCCTCGGCCCCAAGCTTCTGCGGCTGCTCCAGGACGAGTACAAGCTCCAGAAGGGCGTGAGGAAGCAGGTGCAGTGGCTCCGCAGTGAGCTGGAGGGCATCCACACCTTCCTCTGCAAGGTCTCTGATGTGCCATGGGACCGGCTCGACGAGCAGGTGAAGGTGTGGGCACGCGAGGTCAAGGAGGCATCTTACGACATGGAGGATGTCCTCGACACTTTCCTTGCGCGCCATGAAGAAGATGGGTAAAGTGTTCGGCAAGGCCAAGGCTCGTCGCAGTATTGCTGGTGCCATCGAAGACATCAAGAAGCATCTCGAGGAGGTAGCCGAAAGGCGTCAGAAGTACAAACTTGATGACATTATGTGCAAGCCACTCGCAACAACGTCAACTATTGATCCTCGCCTTAAAGCTATGTACAAACAAGTGACGCAACTTATTGGCGTCGACAAGTCAAGGGATGAGCTCGTATCCATGCTGATGACGTTGCAACCAGATGATGGTACCTCGAACCAGGAGATGAAGAAGGTTTCTATTGTTGGAGTTGGAGGATTAGGAAAATCCACCCTTGCCAAGGCGGTGTATGAGAAGCTTAAGTCACAGTATGACTGCGGGGCCTTCATTTCAATTGGTCGGGATTATGACTTGGTAAAAGTTTTCATGGATATTCTCTTTCATCTTGACGGTGAAAAGCATAAGGACATTCACAACACTCGAAGAGGCCTCGAGCTCCTCATTCACCAACTTCGAGAATTCCTGAAGAAAAAGAGGTAACACAGACACACAATTGTAAATTGTAATTAGCCAGTGCCTTTTAAGATATTGCTCCACAGTTACTCGATGGTACACTATGTTGTAGGTTATACTAAAAATGTTATTTCCACATCATTAATGCCAGACTACTTCTTGAGATTGATTTTCTCCACTCCATGCATACAAGAAAAGCACGTTGGCCGGTGTCACAATTCTGGCCGAGAAATCTTGGGCAGAACAGCCAGATGATCGAGATGGAACAGCCAGATAATCGAGATGGTGTCAGACCACGAGAGGCGTCGACATGAATGGGTCGCGCGTGTACGTCTAAGACAGGCAGCCGTACGCGCGGAACAGATGCGAACACACAGGCCGCCGGTGCCATGACGTCCGGCATCCACGGCATCATGATCACCGGCCGCTCCTGCAGACTAAAGATGTGGCCATCTTGCTAGATCCCATAATTACAATTTAATTTATCTCCTAGGATGTACTAAATTTGGCCATTCCATAATAACAATTTAATTTGTCTTCTCCGAGTACTTATCTTTCCGTATGGTCAATAAAACTTTAGGTGAGATTAGGCTAGGGAAAGAATTGTGAAAAATGAAAGCAAGAGTCTTGGATTACTTTGAACAAATAAGTCTTGATATAATCCTTATTGACCATGACTTATAATTTCTTTGTTCACTTTAATATTAACTTCATTACATTACTTCGAGTTTACATGTTAATAATGATGCTGAAAAATTAGGGGACCATGATCCATGGAGTTATCAATAAAGCCTATATGGAAAAAAGTCAAACTTCCACAATTATAAAAGATAACTAACTATTTCTTTTTTATAAATTATCCACATCTATCATTACGAAAGGTAATGCTTTGACCCCTTAGTTTGCATTCAAATTAACCATACCTGGCATTATGAGAGGTAATGTAATGTAATATATACATGTATAATTTGTACCTAAATTATCCATTTCAATTGTTACAAAAAAATTTGACAAAATCTCTCAAATCAACATGTAAATGTAAATTCTAATATATGCTATCATGAAAAATAATTCAAACATCCATAAGTACAATATATGCACAAGACTATTTGAAATACACACTTCTGCAATGTTAAGTTGAAACTATGCACAAAGCTATGTTCCACTGCGTAGACCAAGGAAACATATATACATTAGGATAAATATTTATTTTATAAGCTTATCAAGCGCGGAAAAATGTCCTTACAAATCATATAGTAATGACACTTACACTTCATTTTAAGTCATACTAATACTCATGATAATAAATTTTGCAAGTTGTTACCTCCAAAGAGTTTAAACAATTTGATTGGAACATTATATCATATATGAATATTAGCAATTTAATTCCAAAGATTATTTGTTTACTAAAACAATAGTAATTAATACAATATTATAAATTTAACATCTTAATTGCCATCGTGCATGCCGAAACAATTATTTATGCCATTGTAAGAACTAAGATGATAGCCTAGGACGTAGAATATTCTTATAACAAAATAAAAAATGAAAATTTTGAATAAACGATACAATAAGCAATGGAATTTTAAATTAACACGTGATCAAAAGCTGAAAGTTAAAATATAGATTTAAATGATATCACATAAAGTGGTAAGGGTTTATATACTTTAAGTTTATGTTTCAACTAAACACATATCGTGCTAGAAAAAAGATTAATCCTAGAAATTATTACTCATGAAACTGCTAGAAATAAAAAAGATAGACCCTAAAATTCTTACAAAAACCTAAAACACTTTGCCATCAAATTGGACTATAATCACCATTGTAAATAATAGTCATTGTATCTGAGCAATTGAGAAGCTCAAATTTTTGGAAAAAAAGAATCAAAATTTAGGTTCATAGTCATAAAAATATAGACAGCACCTAAGCCATCATAGTTTAAACAAATGTTTCAACTAAATGTATATTGGAGATAAAAAGAGGTGCTATGTAAAAAAACTGATGGTTATGCATGAAAAGTACATACAAATCAATAATTGGTAGATTATCAAAACTGAATATAGACTATAGAGTGCCTATTATAGCTATTGTTTTAGAACATTAGTGATGAGAAAAAAAATATTAATATAAGTAGTTTTTAGTTGTTAGTCTTCTAAGATTCTAACCCGTGCGAGAGCATGGGTTGATGAACTAGTTAGTTCTATTCAAAAGGCAAGACCAACCGATCAGTTGGCTCGGAGAGTGGTGCTCTAGGCCAGAGACCCGCCATTGTCCCTCTGCTTGTGACGGTGTCTTCCACCTCTACATCAACAATGGCGCGTGCCTTCTAGCCGAGCAGGCACGTGGAAATTAGCGGGCCTATGGACATCTTCGTCTAGAGGTCAGCGATAATTAAGCTCGATTAAGCACTAAGCACATGGTTAGATGTTCCTGTAACTAGACTAGTTAAGATCCCAAATAAGATTTAGTCTAACAGGCCAAAGGATGGGAAAAATGGGTTAAATGGCCAAAATTCGATTTGGCTAGCTTGGGCACTATACTAACACACATCCTAAAACAAACCATAATCGCAGATAAGCACACAGGTGGCTAGTGCTTGACCTGGCTTCAGACCATTCAGACTGTAGTTTGCTGTACTCTGCATGCTTAAGATGGTTGTGTTGGTTCAGTTCAGATTAGAAGCCATAAGTAGGGCTAACCCAAACCATTAGCCACGGCCTGTGCGCCTCAAGCCCTCAGTGCAGCAGAAGGCAATAATGGAGCCGACACAAGAAGGCCCGCGGCCTGCAGTGGAGAGGACGATGGCACATGGTTGGAGGAGACCTTGACCTGCGCGGCCACCGAGTCGAGTCGTCAGCCCCCACTCACCGGCGAAGCAGAGCGCATGCGCATGGTACATCTGCAATCGCTGGGATGGCACATGGGCTGCAATAGTGACATGTCTAAGGCGGTGTTTTGATTGGCTGATAAAAATTTAGGAGATGTGTCGAAGGCATGTTGTATGGGTGTTCAGATACTAATAAAAAAATAAATTATATAATCCATCAGTACTCCACGAGACGAATTTTTTAAACCTAATTAATCTGTCATTAACACATGTTTACTGTAGCACCACATTGTCAAATCATGAACTAATTAGGTTTAAAAAATTCGTCTCACAAATTAGTCACAAACTATGTAATTAATTTCGTAATTAGTCTATATTTAATACTACATACATGTATTAAATATTTGATGGTACAACGACTAAAATTTAGGATGGCCAAACCAACACCACCTAAAACGATGCCTGTCTCTGCATCAATGTTCAGTGACGCCATTGAGTATTAACTCGGCGGTGTCCTCCTGTGTCATGTCCATTGGAGGTTGCCTGCTCTAGACAGTGAATCGGTGAGGGTGAGCTCAACGCCCAGCCAGCATGCCTCCTGTGTCCTGTCCATTGGAGGTTGCAGGCTCTTATGGCATGTTTGGTAGAGATTCATCACTGAAAAAGTGAATCTGGATTTGGGATTCACCATGTATCAGTTTCACCGTGGATCTGAGATCCACCGAGAAAACTGTTTGGCAACGCTGCAGCTCCAGATCCACGCAAGGGCATTTTCAATGGAATGGCCATATTTGCCCTTGGCCTCTAGCTTTCTCTCAGACTCACTGCCACCCGGACCCACGCGTCAGGAGGAAAAAAAGCACGGCTTCTTCTATGAGCCTTGATGCCTTGTCGGGCGTGAGTGTGGTGGCGGCATGCGCCGTGCCCCGCTGCCTATGGCTTGTCGGAGCCTCATGAGTGCGGCCTCGCCCGAATCTGGGGGCGGGCGCAGCGGGCGGAGCAAGGGCGTGAGCTTCGGCCGGCGAGGACGAGGGCGCGGCCAGGCGTGCCGGGCTCGCGGCCATGGCTGGGATGGGTGTGCGCGGCCACGGGAGGGGCGCATGTGGCCGGCGGGAACGGGGGCAGCGGCCGGAGGAGGGGCTTGCGGGGCCGCCCGTCGAGGGCGTGGCGCGCTGGGCCGGCGGGCGGAGCTCGCTGGCGTGGGCGGGAGGTGCGGCCATCGTGGGCGCTCGAGCTTCGCGAGGAAGAAGAAAAGAACGCTCGAAGAATTAAAAGATCGAACCGTTTTCTATGTAACCAGTGGCAGTGGTGGGTAATTTCTCCCAAATTCACTAAACTTAGTTTGGTGGAGCACCCCCTGAGGAGATCCACCAAAATGGTGAATCCAGCCTTCAGATCCACGATTTTGGTGAATTCGGATTTAGTGGATCTGCAGTGTTTAGAAAATTTTTAGTAAATCCAAGCTCATGAATCCGAATCTGATGAATCTGAATCCCTACCGAACATGCCCTTACATCGGAGGTTGTCTGCTCTAGACGGACTCCAACAGCGTGACCCGTATACCCATTTTACGGTTGGAGTGATGTACAGTGAAATTTTTTTTTACATCCCATAACTTCACCCCTCCAACGGAGCCCCGAATCCCTGCAGTCCGCGAAAATATCCGAGACTCACTCCTCAACCCTATCCACGCCGCCATCCCAGCAGGTTCGCGCCGTCCATCTCGCTGCGGCCCTGCGTCCAGGCACCTGCGCCGGCCGCCGCGGAGCCGGAATCCACCCGTGCCGGCCGCCGCGGAGCTGGCAGCACCAGCGCCATCCGCCGCGGCGCTGCCCGCCATGGAGCCGGCAGCCGTCCGCTGCGGCTCCGCTCCACCCTCCGCCGCGCCGCTCGCCACCTGAGCCGCCCCGAGGCCCGAGCCGCGACGACAGCGCTGCCCGCCGTGGAGCCGGCAGCCATCCGCGTCGTCAGCTGCGGCTTCACCCTCCGGATCCAAGCGACGGCGGCTCCCCAAGTTCGCGCGTGGCGGCGGCTCCCCCGAGCTCGCGCCCGGCGGCGGACCCCCGGCGCTCTCTCCTTCGTCAACTCCTCCCGCGGCGGCCCGCCTCCTCCACTCCACTCCTCCCCGAATCCGCCTCGCCACGCCGCGCCGCTCCGGGCGCTCCTCGCCTCGAGCCCGCCTCGCCCCGCCGGCCGCGCT